CCACAATCAAGGTAAATAAACATTCTGCCAATTATGTCACCTTCACCGATAGCCAACGCAACAGGACTCTATGGTTTTATTTATGATTGCTAGTAGGTATCTGTGGTTTGATTATGTAAAATAGTTTTGGATAGGTATTTTATTTATATAACTTTAATTTAATTTTGTTATGGCTACAAAAATCTCTAGTCCTATTTGTTAGGTATGTAAATAAATTATAATTAAAATATTTAATGTCCACATTTACAATCTGGATAAAGAAACGTGTTATGTGACTTTATTTATATCTATATACATATACATAGAATGTTTGAATTATATTTCTACAAACTACAAAATAAAAACGTTACCCAAAAAAAAAAAATTAAATTTCTTCTTATTTTTTCTTTATTTTTTTAATGTTCGCTATCTCATAATTTTCAAATTTGGAATCAGTTTGCAAACAAAAGGATAATCAATTTGCAAGTGAACAAGACAGAACAAAGCTGAATGTGAAGGATTATCGAAATAATTGACGTTGAACAGTTCTGTTCATGTCAGTGGGGAATAGTGTGAAGCTATAGTTATTGGGTGGATAACAACCCGATCGCCTAGTTAGACGTGTCCCTTGAGATAGCCAGGGATGATGAATCATGTCTCTCACTTGATTAGCCAACAGGAGTTACGTAATTGGTCCGAAGTTGGAACATATACTTGTACCTACCTACCTAGGGTACCTAACGCTAGAAAATAAAGCGGGTAAATATGTGTGTGGTTAAAAAAAAAGTATTAAGAAAACTTAATGGAGTTTGTTTTATTATAATCATGTATTTTTTGTTTGATCTGTAATGAAATTGGGAAGGGTTTATGCATAATAGATATTATAATAAAAGTTGTGCTTAATAGGTAAAAAAACGTATCTGTAGAAAAGTGAACGGACTGTACATATACATAGATACCACTGTTGCCATGTATTCTGAAAAAAAAAACGGAAACAGACATGACGATATAACAAAGTATTTTCAAACATGGAAAAGCCACTTCTTTATTTAAAATTTGTCATTTTCTATTAATGAATTATTGTTAAAAAAATCCTAAAACGTTGCGTACCTATTTCAAAAAACACTTATTATACGAATACGAGTAGAAATAATTAGTTTAGAGAAAAACTTGTTCTTTTTTTGAAAATAAGTCGTGTCAATAAACAAATTCTACTATCTCACGCGTGGCAAATTTAAATATTATAAGCCCGCTTGATAATGTAACCAATTAATTAACCTTTTTTAATAAAAACTCCATCTGTCTTTGACTTAGAAAGATAGATATTAATAAAAAAAACATATAATCGTCGAATATCAGCCTTGGGATTAAATAAAACTGTGGTTAAATTGATTTCATATCGATTAATATTACTAATTGGATAAAATAATTCTAAAAATGGGACTTTTTATGTGTTGCCAATATTTTAAAATGAAGCTTCATTTGGGTAACCTTTGGCATCAATACGTTATGTTTTGTTATGTTGATCATGCAAACAATTTATAATAGTTATCCGTCATCACAAAATGCATCTTTTGATAAAATAATTATGATTAATATTTATCCGTATATAATTTGATCTAGACCTTAAACTAGATCTTAAAGAGCCAATGGGCCACCACAGATGGGTCAGGAGAAGGGAGTGGATTTTAGTCAGTAAGAGTCTAAAACTCCCTATCGCTCCACCCAAGGCGATAATAGTCATTCGATGATTCGACCTACTTATACAAGAAATAAAATGTATTTCATAAAAACACTAAATCAATTGATTAGTATTTTGATATGTACTATATGGTATGGTAAATAAAAAATGAAAGCGACTACCAGAGTTCTATTCAGATAATAATCTATTTAGTACTAATTATAAGTATCGTATTTTAGGTACGTCAATAGATTCTTTTATAGCTTTTTATAGCTAAGGTCAAAAGCATTTTAATTGATGTTAATTGGCTATTAATAAATGTTACGTTTCATTTTTATGTCAATCATCGAAGAAGTTTGACTGACTTGTTATTTTATGTATTACTTGCTAATGTCGCGCGGTTTCACCCGCTGCCCGGCTCCATTTGCTCTTAGCGTAATGTTTTATAGCCTATAGCACTCAGAAACATTGTAGCTATCTATCAGTGAAAGAATTTTGGTAATCCGGCCAGCGGCTCCAAACATTACCCCCTACATATAAACTTACATATTTTATCTCTTTATAATATTAGTATAAACTAGCGACAGTCGCGCGGTTTCACCCGTTGCTCTGCTCCATTTGATCGAAGCGTGATGTTTTATAGCCTATAGCACTCAGGAACATTGTAGCTATCTATCAGTGAAAAAACTTTGGCAATCCGGCTAGCGTTTATACCCTACATACAAACTTACAAAATTCAAACCATAAAAAAATATTACTTTTAAAAGTTTCCGTGTTTGTAGTTATTTTACGTGTAATAAATCAATATTAACTAATTAAACCATACCATAAAAAAGTGTAGAAATAATAATAATAGTTTAAATAACAGGTTTCTTAGTTGTTTGTCACATTTTTACGATGTTTTACTAGAACATACATGAAAATAGCATATCATTTATTTTAAGGTTGGTACTTTATAAAGATCTATTCCACAGTTCCGTAATCGGAAACGAATGTTCAAAACATAGTCCTTGATTTGATTTGGTATGTATTAAGTTCGGTAGAACATAATAGAGAACATAATGATTGCAATTTTTCATCTTTTTTTCTATACTAATATTATAAAGAGGTAAAATTTAAGTTTGTATGTAGGGGGTAATCTTTGGAACCGCTGGTCAGATTGCCAAAATTCTTTCACTGATAGATAGCTACAATGTTCCCGAGTGCTATAGGTTATAAAACATCACGCTACAATCAAATGGAGCCAAGCAGCGAGTGAAACCGCGCGGGAGTAGCTAGTATATCATAAGTCGGCAAACGAGCAGAGGGATTTACTGATGGTAAGCAATCAGCGCCGCCCATGGACACTCGTACGTAATACCATAGAAGTTACTACAAGTGCGTTGCCGACCTTAAGTGGGTCATTAGGGACTTCAGGATTGGTAATTGGGTGGGGGAAAGGATTGGGCCTCCTCTAAACTCACTTATACGGCGAAACACAACATAAATGTTACTTCACGAAGGTTTTCTGTAAGGCCGTTGTTTCACTCCCCTACACTTTAAGTGTGGGAGAGCCATGTTTCGGCACGAATGGGTCGACTCGACCGGACTGATACCACGGCCTCACAGAAGACCGACGTGAAACAACCACAGCGTTGTGTTTCGCCGTGTGACTGAGGTTACCGGAGGCCCAATTTTCCCCGCCCCCGATCCCTCCTCAATCCCTAAATCTCCAAATCCCTAATCCCTATAAGGTCGGCAACGCACTCGTAACTCCTCCGTTGCGGGTGTCCATGGGTGGCGCTGAATGCTTACCATCAGGTAATCCGTCTGCTCGTTTGCCGACCAATTACATAAAAACTCCGGTAGAGACGGCCCATTCGTGCCGAAACATACATAAGTCTCCGACTCTTAAACACACACCATCTATGTACCTTTTTTACCTTGAAATAACGAGTAAAACAGACAATAAAGATACCAGACTCTGTATTAACCAACCTCTTTAGAAAAACAAGCAAGATGTTACCATATCACATAAAACATCGGAAACAGTCCCATTACAAAAAAAAAATACACATATGAATCTAAATCAGAACAATGAGCGATCAATGCTTTCCACCTTGAACCTTTTAAAAACAATTGAAGGTACTAACTTAATAAATACCTAAGGTTATTAATTACAACGTACTATACTTCCCTTACCTGTTATTCTTAAGATAACGTCCTTAGATACTGCATAGAAAATTGCCAGACCGAAGCATAAACGCTCATCAACCTACCCCATTTAGCCTTAACTTTTGCAATTGATTTTCAACTGTATAACAAAGTGGTAAAGTTGGAAATGTATTGATGGTTTAGTGTAGTTCGTCCTGCTGTTGTCTGCCTATTGTCTTAAAAGTTGGTTTAACAATAAAAGGTAGCTTAGTTAGCTACTTCCATTTGCTCTGACTCGCATTGTTTCTGATACAGCATTGTCCGATAGTATCAGTTCCATAGATACCTACCAATGTACCTACAGAGAAAGTAAGAAATCACTGGAATGGCTATAAAGATTGGTATCAAAAGAACAATGAGTTTTTATAAACATTGATTTAGTTGATATCTATATTCGATTTGTTTTAATTGATTGTTTCATTTCTATTAGAAAGGTAGTAAGGTAATTTGAGAAGTTCCGTGTTTTTGTTTTTGTTACCGTAACATACACGACAACTTTTTTACGACGCGGACATAAAATAGTAGCTAGCATAATTATATCTATCCTTCAGTATTAGAATCAGGATATTATTTATTGTACAACATAATATTAAAAAAAAAACAGAAAACAACAAGCACAAAAGATTTACATTGGAAAAGCACAAAAGATTTACATGTACATTTGGCGGTCTTATCGCTAAAAAGCATTTTTTTACAGACAACAACTGTAGAAGAATACGTTTAATACCTTCGTGATGTTTATATATCCACAAGACCTTTGTGATATCTATACCTTTACTAATGAATACTTATGAAATTAAAAAAAAAAATATTTAACTCTACATATATTTAAATTGCATTAGCGATCTATGTCTATTAGTATAACCTTTATAATGAAAGCCTTTATCAACTATACACTCATTAATCCCCACTAGATATTAACATCTTACTAATAAGTTGTATACATTTAAGTGTAACATGTAGTTTTAGTCCATTATTTGTCGGTTCCCGAGACGGGAGAACCAGATAAAAATGACCTCGATTCTAAAATCCTGATCCCCAACCAATCCAATGTAAACAGTCAAAAAAAAACTTGACTTTAAGAGAAAAAGAGAGAGAGAGAATATTTCGCGCAGTCATTTTTATCTGTCTTCTCCTTTCTCCGCAGACATGAATGAATTGGAGAGACAGAACAAGATCACCCAGCAGATACTGGAAGCGTTTATTCAGAAGAAGTTGGGGCTTCGGAGTACCGTGCCGAAGGCGCCGTCGATCCTAGACATACTCCCAGTGAAGATGCCAACTCTACCAATGACGCAACAGCCAGAGATGACTCAGGAAATGGAAGAAGAGAACCAGGATACCATTGACAGCCAAGAGCTGACAGAAGAGCAGGAGATAAGAGAAGATGACAGCCTACAGAGTGTGGAGAGTGAACAAATCGATTCGATATACAACACAGATTCAGGTATCATGATCCCCGATTACTACAGCTTTTTACGGGTCATATTTTGTTCTGAATGAATTGCATTTTTTTCGTTATGTTAGTTGCATAAACTTTGTTTAAGATATGATTGTGTTTTAGCACTAATACGTTACTATCGATTTTTTTATAAACGATGATGACTTTCGTCTACTTGTAGCTTTACGCTAGACAAGATTGAAATCAATTAATTAAATATAAGGTATAAATCATACCAACATTAATTAACTTATCTAGATCAATCAACGACTTATCAAATCGATTCCTTTTATATAATTGTAAGATGAATTTAATGACTAGGTATTAACATTTAGTCTAACAATACAGATTGATTGAAGTGTCATCAAGAAACATTCAATGCCATCAGATGATACCCCCTCTTAAAAACTCTGATCAAACGCACATACGTACTTCAGCTAGATTGGTCAAACATTTGTCAATATGACAAATAATACGCAACGTATACATAAATATATGTCAAAGACATCGCGACCCGAATCTCAGTACCTATGCGAGGGTACAAATATTACCTATGTCAAAAGTTTGATCAAATATTTGTGATGCGAACGCGTGACAGTATTGCATTTGCAAGCCTAACATGTAAACATTGAACAATTATCCACTTCGTTTCATAAGACAAAGAAAATCACTATGGTTGCCTTCGTTACATAACACGCCTTAGGTACAGGTTGGGTAGACAAAAATGCATTGCAATACTCATTAAATAACGGTATGGTTGACGTAGAGGTAAGTGATTGGCTGCTGTGTGACGTGTTATAGATAAAATGCCCCCTACTACGTCTACACCGACACCTTAAGAGTTATGTATCCGTTGCCGGACTTTTGGGGATTAGGGTTTCAGAGATTTAGGGATTGGGGACGGATGTTCACATGGAGGCTCAATCACATGGCGAAAGATAAGGATGTGGTTGTTTCTCGGTGGTTTTCTGTATGGCCTGTTTTGTGTAAAGTCGTATCACTCTAGTCGAGCCGACCCATTCGTGCCGAAGCTTGGCTCTCCCACACTTAAAACAACCATACTGTGTGATAATAAGCCTTGAATTAACCAGTAGACATGTCTATTGGTTAATTAAAGCCAATTTCCCTATATGCTTCTTACACCTACCCTACCCTAGAGATCGATTGTGTTTTTTTTGTATCGGGTTGGAAAATCCTCCTGGAGACTCACCGCCGTCGGAGAAGGGCAAAGAGTACTGTGAAACTCTTACTGACTAAAAACCAACCCTGTGTTCCTCAATTTACCCATGTGTCGGAGGGGCGGGTATCGCCGAAGCATTCATCTATTGGTTAACTAAAGCCAGTTTCTGTGTACTTAATTATTTTTATTTTAGAGGTGTAGACCTCTTAGTTGCAAGAAGATAGGTTCAATCTTCCAAAAATATAATAAAGTAAACAAGCCAAATTTACCAATCGCAAATAATCACAGCATTTTTTTTAAGTGCTAAGCAAAATCAAACTTAATTATATCTAACTACAGTCCCAAGTGTGTTTAAAGTTATATTTAAGTTATTTTTGTATCGTCAATTCAAGGTGTAATCACTTTAATAAGCGGTGGCGTTTCGTGATCCGGTGCAGATGACCCCTGACCTAAATTTACTAAAACATCACAAGATGACTTTACAGTTAATTCAATTTGATATAAAAAAATCTCGTTTTCGGTGTTGATTCGATATCAAACTTAAATCCTTGGATTAAGACCCATTTTTGATATAAGTACTTACTGTTTTTTTCTGATAGTGTTACTACTGATTAAGCTTGATTAATTGCGGTTGTTAATTAAGATAAACATGATATTTAAGTATCAAGAGTCGAGACAAGCATAACGTCTTCTTCTTCGTCTCCATTGTAATCTAAACTATGGAAGTAGCAAATGGCGTCACTAACGACTTGACCGACAGACTAACACATTTGACGCATCCTTAAGCTTTGTTTGACGTTCAAAAATGATTTTGTCTTTGACTTCATTTGCTGGTTTTGCCGTGAAAAAGTTGTCAGAAATGCTTATTACATCATCATCAATAGAATAATTAGGGCTAAGCCTTTTCCACGGACTGAATCAAATAAGTGTCAATTTTATCATAGATACATACATATATAATACACGTAGGTACAGAACGGAAATTTTGTTTTACGTGACTGTTTTTTTTTATTTAATTGGGAGACAAACGAATAGTCCGACCTTTTGATGGTAAGCAATCATGGGTACCAGCAACAACAGAAGAGTCAAAAGAGTGTTATCAACCTTTTGCCATATATCTAATATTTCCGTACTAAAATTCGAATGTTAAGTCATAAAATCTGTCTGTTACATCAAAATCGTGAAGAGAATTGAACTGTGAATAGGGACATAGGATACTTTTTTAACAAAAAACTACGTAAACGCGGAATAGTCACGATCAACAGCTATGTTAATAATAATAAATAATTATTAGACTACATTTTCAAATCGGTATCTTTCTTAAAATGGTACCGACAAAAAAACTAGACTTGTACATAATATTGACCTTAATTCGACCGTCTACATACCTATTATTAATAAAATCAAAACTTTCGATTCAAATGGAAAGTCATTGGCGTTTTATTGTCTAAAAAAGACTATAATATACCTTAATAAGCTATTCATATCCAAAAACATACAAAACGAAAGAGTTTTTAATTACTTTAGCTATTTTACAAAAATTAAAAGTTCACGGTCATAGTTCGTGAGTTCCGACCTTTACCGTAGAAATATAAGAAAAAAACTTCCATCTATATATTAGTAATGCGTGGTTTTGCCACCATTTTTTTATTTACTTGCCCGATCTATTAAAACCTGTTAATGATATAAAAATGTATGTTTCATATCCTTGTTAAACTTAATAAAAACAAATTAACTAAGCGACTATTTTTAGTTATCTATATCACATCGCATCACCAGTCTAAGTATAAGGCCTCGGCCTTGAATCTTGCGGGTAGCGGCGACAGCGGGCATCGAAACCAGCAGTCAGATCAGATAGCGCTTTTCGTAACTGTCTTAATTTTATCGGAAGTTAAAAAAACATTGTTAAAGTGATACAATCGATGAATTTATAGTTTATGTAAAAGTAATACTTTATGTTAATTGAAATATGTCGCAATCCAGGCCAAAGGGCCTATGACGTGTTAAAGCGTTAGTCTTCCGGGCGAGAAAGAGGGATGGAGCTATACACCTTTTATAGTACCATCCCTCTTTCTAGTAGGCCTACAGAACTGTCGAATTTTGAAACGATCGCGCGTTCCTATAGCAACCATCGTAACTCAGACGTTACCTGAATAACTTGCCTTCTAAAACTATTGGATTTAAGAACAGAACTGAGTTAAACAGGTCGCTCCAATAGCATCCATAGATAGCAAAATAAAGAAGGATGGACCCTACCCAAGACAGTGAGATCCCCTCCTTTTCCGTCATATAGGTATACCAAGCTTCTAAAAGTACCTACTACAAACTCAAATAAAAACTTTATATTGCGTTCATGTAAAGAACGTAATTAAATTACAGCATGGATCATGTTTGTAACGACAGTGGAAATTGTACAAAACCGCTTGATTGGAGCGCACAGCTCGCTTCTCCACATCGCCGCTGTTTTCGAGACCGGGGCCTAAGTGCCCACTGCTGAGCCTCTTCTCACACGAATAAGGTTTGAGCAGCAATCGCTGCGTTTCCTTAAGGGGTATTTCAAATTTTAAACACAATATTAATAAACTCAGAAATAATCGAATTAAGTTACCTTTATATATTTATTTTTATTTAATTTTATAAAACTGAAGTGTTTGTTTGTTTGAACGCGCTAATCTCCAGAACGACTGGTTAGAATTGAACAATCCTTTTTGTGTCCGTTAGTCCATTTATCAAAAAAATCTACTTCTTTCAAAACTACTCTGCGCATTGCAGTTACTTCAAGTTCAAACCTGGTTATGTTGTTAACCTCAGAAGTTCTCCTTGAAGAGTTCAGCACAGGACTTAAGGGACCGGTTCATCCTACGATCTGATCACAAAACGAAAATGCAAAAGATCATTTATAGGCTAATAAAAGTCATGAACCGAAAATAGCCACAATCAGGAATGCTCCTTTTTTATGTCTAGCCATAAAAGAAAATATGATCCTCGATAATTAGATGATTACTATGAAAATGAGAGTGGTGTTACATTCGACATTTTACCAATCACCTTGAGAGGTCGTTGATATCTACTAGGAAAATTAATATTTGACATATTAAATTAATATATACGAACTACGCAAAAAAAATAAAGGATGATACACGTGAACATTAAAAATATTATAAAAAAGGTAGGTAATGAATTATTCAAATAAATTCTTCATAAAATGAGAAAAAGTTTTTTACACTTAGAAACCTCCTTTGATAAAAAAAACAATGCAATACTTTATCTTCTGACATTTGATTATCGAACAGTTGACATTTAGTTTCCAAAAAACGCGCGATTGAATTAGATTAAACCGTACCAAAAATAGTCGACGTATGTAGTCATAACTTTGTTTTTACTACTAATTCCCTTTGGAATTGATTGTATTATTTTTTTTATATTTTTGTATTTAAATAACAGATTTTTACAAATAGTACAACGATTGCATAGGCATTGTAAGTACAATTGACTATTTGAGTCTTTTGAAAACTATTTTCAAGTAGATATGCGATGCCTTGTTGCCAGCCTCCAGCGTCTTTATCTCATAAAATTTATTATAAAAAAAAACATTTTCGCTATAATGTTTGCTATAATTCTATAACTTACTTAACTTACGTCTGTCAAATAGCAAAAACCTTTTCAACTAATACTTTTTTTTAAATATTTACCTACAATGCTTTTAATAAGAACGTCCTTATAAACAGGTTGATCCATTTAAATAATTGGATTGCATCAGTAAATAAATAAATTGCAGAAAATGTTAATTTCCATCTCTCCTGGCTGAAACTTTATTTTCATCATG